TTCTTTGCTTTTGAATGCAAAGCAGTTGAAGAAAGAGGAGATCCTTTTGAAAAGTACAACGATTGAACGGAAGGAACAGAAAAGATTTGAAAGATGTTGACAATTGGCAAACGAGTCACAAAATGAATTGTTGATAAACGTTTGCGTTGGGAATTTTAGTTGATCACTCCAACAAACAGACGCTTGGATTCGATGGATCACTGAAAACACTGCTTTTTTTCTGGAAATCGACAATTTTGAAAGAAGAAAAAATTCCAGCTGAATCATTAATTGCATGGGAATATGACTTGTTGATGGATGATGGTTTTTGATAGCGTGCAGGAGGCTTAGGCTTAGGCTTAATGAATTATGAGATAACACTGCTGCAGTAAGGCATTTTTCTTGGTGATGAGGATAGGATGGTAGTACGGCGATGAGATGGTGTCGATTTGATCGATTCTCACGAGCACATCACGATCATCTATCGAAAAGTCATTTTGATACATCGCTTGATCTGAACGAATTTTTCTGGTGTTAATGTGAGATTTGAGGGAGCAATGCCTGATTAGACAAAAATTTAGAGGATTTGCTCAGAGCGAAACTCATTTATGTGCAAACCCTTGATATCGGGTTTCCGAATCACCGCCACTTGATGATATTCACTGTGAATTCATTCTTCTGAGCTGTGACCGTAAAAAATAAAGATGGCTCCGCATTTCTAAACGAAACTCTTAACAACAATTGACATCAAAGGTGCTGAGTATGCACAAGTAGACGATTGACTCCATCTAAGCGGAATCTAATCTTGCATGTAAATGAAAACTAGCAAATCGAACACCACTACTGATTTGCAGTAGCAGTCAGATGAAGCCGATACGTGATAATGATGCTTGCTTGCCATTATTGACCACCTAAATTTATGTAATGCATTATTCTACCCAATCATCCTTCCATCAGCTGCATCCACCACCATGCATCCATTAATTCATTTTTATGTTCGTTCTAAGTGAATAAAAGTGTGAGAACAAATCTGTTTTGAATGGTCGTCTGCTTTGATTCGATACGAGCATGCATACACATACCAATAGATACAACACAATGACTGACGTTCGAATAATGAACGCAATGAGAACGAATATTGTGAAATTGCATTGCTATGCTCAATTGCAATGAAACGGAATCGAATTTCAACAGATTCTGCTCGTTCTTCCATAAATGATGCTTGACATATATGAATGCAAAAGGCATTTTATGACATGACTGATCTGATTGCCATTTGGTATTGTATTGTACAATTCAGTATGATATGAATGGTAATTGATTGTTGATTGAGAAGATTATTCGGCGCAGTTGAGTTGTATAGAAAGCCGCTGAAACAATGTATAATGCTCCTATTGATCAGAGTATAATTTGATCATATGAGAACATGATTTGTTCTTTAGAATTTCTGGAATTTAGGAATTTAACTTTTTCTCTGTTGACATCAACAATAAGAATTCCTGAAGTGTTCCAAATGATTCAAAATTGAAACAACAGTGGGAACAAAGAGCGTAGACGACAAGCAGAACAATAACTGGGCTATGGCTAATGCTTGTGGCTTCAGCCTTGTATTCCCATCAACGTTGAAGCCCTGCACGTTCTTCCGATACCGTTCCAACTCGATTTTCGACTGTTTTCTGGGGACCTTGCAAAGACTATGGGGTGTTGAGCGAAAATGAATGTGAAACGCCTCTAAATGTAGCCATCTAGTCCAGGAGATAGCTAACAATAAGCCAGGACATAGCATTGGTACCCATTTACAAAATAAGTTCATCGCGTCGATCGTATACTGATCAAAAAGCTTAATTTCGATGCCATATAAATACGTTAATGCATGAAACAACTGTTCTGTGCGAATGAAACGGGCTTTACATTGCAAAACGATGTCGTAAAAAATGTATAGATTTTAAAAAGGGTGTGCTCGTCATATTAATCGCTTCATGATAACGTCGCACAGCAGTTATTTTCATCAATTGGGTGTAAACTTACTGAGCATGATGATAAGATTATACAATGATTTGCATGATTACTTTTTATGTCTTACTCTCATAATGAGCTTACACCTTAAAATATATACATAATGAGTGCAAAAACATGGGAGGCACACAGCCCTGGAACATCAGAGCATACATAAATAATTTTTAGTGGTTTTGAATTGTCAGCAGTTCAAGCCCCATTAGATTAACACTTAGCAGGACTGGATTATTCATAGAGCATTCATTTGTACAACTGATTTCATTTCGGAACTGATCTATTTGATTTTTGATGAATTTTTTAGCACAACTTGATTTTAAGTCTGGATAATCGAAATCGAGTGTAATTATTATTATCGAGTTGGAAAGTGAATTTTGACTCAGTTCACAATCGAAATATTGCGCATCACTGATCGCTTCAGTGTTGTCATATTGCGTTGGTGTTACGCAACAGTTTGTTTGCTGATAAGCGCTGCTCTAACGTCACCAATCTGGAAGCGTAGCTTATCTTAACGAGCAATTGCTAGCAGGCACGTTCGTATTCATCGCTCTGTCAATGTCATTCTTCGATTTTGGTGACGTTTCCATGTCACATGGATTGATTGCTTAGCTGCGTGCATTGTAGAATTTTTAGAAACTCGTTTGCTGTGTCGAATAGTCAGCATAGAATTTGGAAATTCTGCTAAATGGCTACGGCTATGCGTCATACAAAAGGTAATCACTTAGCGAACACTGAATGCGAAGAGGATGAAGAACGATATGCTTCAACAACTTCACTCACATCGATCGTAAAGTTAGTGATCTCTGCGTGTGATCTTAGCAGTACTCCGTGATAAACGCTGATCAAAGAAGATCATCTGGAATGCAGTAATAATCTGCTTTAATTATGTCATTTTTTTAATGTTCGAAGGCAGTTTCTGACAACGTTTCGTCCCCATTGCCGTGAGAAAATATCGTTCCGTAAAGCTTTAGCCAAATTCCAAATCTGTTGAAGTTTAGGTAGTGCAACGGTTATATTAATGAGTGAACAAGGTAAATTAGCGATGAATTCATTGTTGGAAGTGTTTTACTCACATAAATAAACAAATATGAAAGTATTCCAATTCGAAATGCATAATTTATTGAATGTTAGATAAGAGGAATCATTTGAAATGAACGTGTGATGAAGTTTAGAAGTGGTATTCCATGGACACGTTTGCATGTGACATCCTCTAAGCCGTTGGCATGTGGCTGTGGCGGGATCATTCTAAAGGGTCGCTATGGATCAATTCCAGTTGTGCTAAAAGTGATGCGACGTGAGGAACTGATTATGATGAAATGCTTGAAGAAATTATTACTGCTCGATCATGTGAATATTATGAATTTTTAGTGAGTTACTACCGTACATGACATTATTAATTTTCGCAATTCTCCTTTGAATTCATTCGTGAATCAGTCTCATTTATACGATAAGAGATCATCTGTTGTGCTATAGCATTCAAAGACCACTGCGTTTTGAACGATGCACAATTGTATTGTTTCACCTAATTGAGTCAACAACACCTAATTTTCTTGGCTCTTCACANGATATAGTTGAATATAAGCATGCGACATTAGTAATGGAATACTGTCGCAATGGTTCTTTGAGTAAACGAATCAAGAGCAATCAAATGATGAAGAAGAAGCATTTTTTGAAGTGGTCTTATCAAATTGCCGATGGTATGGCGTATTTGCACTCGCAATCAATTGCTCATCGCAATCTCAAACCACAAAAGTCAGTCACTTACTTGTTTGCATAACCATAATCATTAACCACTCACAAAATTTTTACATGATTGTAACTTCGATGAAATTTCATTGCGAATATCATTGATAGCGCTCAGAAAAGGATAAAAAAATTTCAGTGTTTTACTGAATGCCGGTAAAGATGTGCGTATCGGTGGATTTACGCTTTGTAAAGAAATGAAGGGTGCGAACGGGAACACGTTCTGTGGCACTGCACTCTATATGGCGCCTGAGGTTGTGGCTGGACCGAAGTATTCCCTTAAGGTAGATCAACATTGTTTTTTTTTCGAATTTGTAGCATAGGCTGCATGCAGTCAAGTCCAACAATCTTCTGCTTCATCGAAACACCTAGACTTCTTTTCGTCATCCAAATGATAGAAAAGTCAGTGTGCAATCGTCAACTAACAAGAGGCAGTAAGCAGTGATAGAGTCGATGTTCTCCTTAGAAATTCCAAAACTTCAGTCAGTTTGAACTAGCACTCAGCATTTCGGGATGAAATTTTGCATATACGTATCAATAGATACGTATACGTATCTATTGATCTATAATGATCAAANGCATATCAATGAGCACCATTGCGCTAGTCAAGATAGCTTTAATAAAATAGCTATATCTCGTCAACTGAGGTGATATTGTTCGCTTATTTGTGAGATATAATTCTGATTAAGAATGTCCACCTGCAGTGCAATAGCAAGTTTTAAGGTGGATGTATGGAGTTATGGTGTTGTGTTGCGTGAAATGTTAACGCAAAACCATCCGTATGCATTACGGAACGCTGTCTCAATAGCTCTCGAACTCGGTGACATGTGAGTTCTTTATGCTTTGTTGGCTATTTGTCTGAGATGACACAAGCACGGCCAAAGTTGATGATAATCTAAATTTTGCTGCAAACTGAAACCAGCCGAATGTTGGTGAAGATACATGATTCAGTGGTATCAAGAGAAGCTGAATTTCACAAGAATTCCGTCATTTCATTGTTGAACTCTGAACTAGTTCTTCTTTAAGACGTTAGCATAACGATCGTTCGAAAACATTAAATCAAAAATTTAGCTCCTTCAGGAGATTGCATTGAATTGTTTTCAGCGCAACCAAACAGTGCTGGCCAAATGCTTTCTCGCTACTGCCTCCAGTCGATAGTCCAACACACTTGCAGCAACTGATATATAATTGTTTCGCTCCTGATTATGAAAAACGACCGAGTTTCGATGAGATTCTGGTGAAGTTGAAGGAAATAAAAGTATGTTTATTGGAGTTGCTTGGCATTTTCATTTTGATAATTCCAATGTGAAGACCAGATCAATAAGCTGGTTATTCTCATCATCTATTCTTATTGAAATCATTTCCTGAAACAGGAAGAAATCGAAAAGCTGAATGATGACGAATGGATGTCGAAGAAGAAGGGCTGGCGAACAATGATACGGAAAGGTCGGCGATATCTTATTCCCCTTTGAATCTTCCTTTTTAAGTCCATTGTTAATGAGGGTTATTTGCTTTAGACCAGCTCAAACTAATTCAGATGAACTCTCATTCAGATGAACGCTCGTTTCATACTGATTCACATGGATTCTCATTCTTTTCAGACGTGTTATATTCACTCTCATAACTATTGCATGAGAATACCGTTCTCTTCATGACTTTTTATCATTCTCTTCGTCTCGTTTCGCTTAACAGTTACAATCAAATTCTTATTCTGTGACATACACTACTTACTTGATACGTTGACGAGTGTTGACAACTGCCGTCAACAGTACAACAATTGAATGATATTGCACAACAATGTTCGAGAGTCAAATGATCAATAATAGAGTGTATTTGATAGAATGAGAATTTGACTTTGATTGTTGAATGAAATGAATGAGAAATTAGCAGAAGAGAATACTTTTGCTGATAAAAGTCATGAGAGCGACTATAACAGCTCGGAAAAGAATGAAAACCCTGCTAAAACAAATGAAAACCGTGTTAGGCCCG